AATTTAAAAGCTGATTTAAAGCTACTGCCTTGGGCTTCTTTTTCAGTTATGTGCTCCTTTTCATTGATCATTCCTGTTGAAACCTGCAGTGAATTGGGAGCTGTGAGCCCTCTTTGGGTCAAACTGGCCACGTGGCTTTTCCAGTAAATGGATACCAGAAAAGCAGGAATGTTAAAGAACTTGTCAAATGAGTCTGAGAGGGCCACCCTACGCACAACTCCAGGGGGCGCTATTCACGTCAAGTCTATGGAGTTGTTCTGTGAACCATCTACATGCAGGAGTGAGGCAGCCCCAGAATCTGAAAATTCATCCCTTCTACCCTCTGCTTTGCTTAATAACTAACAGTTAAACATTTGTTGAGTGAGTGGAACGTAATACAAGGAGTTGTGGAAACATGAGGAGGGAGCATTTCATTCTCTGGGGAATCTGGGAGTTCTTCGCAGAATAGGTTACCCTTAAACAACATTAAGGGATGGGTAGAAGAAATGGGAAAAGGGCTTTCCAGGCCTGTGGAGGCCTGTATGTTGAAGCATGGAGCTGCACAAAAGCCTGGCACGACTGGGAAAGATGGGAAAAGTTCAGGATCTGAGGACAGCACAGGGCTAGTCCAATTACAGGCCAAGTGAATTCACAGACTTCATCCTCTACAGCTGTTTCTTCCTCGAGCAGGACTGTGCCTGCAGGCACACCCAGGTCTGCCTGAGGACACGCAGGTCAGAAGGGGCCTCCACCATCTGAGGAATGTGCTGCCATTTGTGTTACCCAAGCTCCAGCCAGCTGGACGTCTGGAGCCACCACATCCTTTCAGATTTAAACACAACTTCCCTTGATGGGAAACCAGCCTCCCTCCCCCAATCCCTGCGGTTTCTCCCAGGCACCACTGACTCCTGCTCCTCGCTTCTTCCATGTTATCTCATCTTCTTGGTTTGCTAGACAGATCTAGCAGCACTGGCACAAATCCAACTGCGCAGCAAATTTTACTGAAGGTTTTAAAGTAGAGTGCAGCCGACAACCCCTGGTGGAATAGTAAAGGGCCTCTTCTTTACTACCTGCCACTCCCACCACTCAGGGCCTTGTAGCAGTCTGCTGGTCTCCTGGCCCCACTCTGTTCTGCTCATCTTCTCATTGCCCACAAGCCCCTGATCCCCTGGTTTCTCATCCAAAGCAACTGAGATCATCCAGTCTCATCCTCCAGTCACCATAGAGGACAGCAAGGTTTTTGTTTGGTTTTGTGTACTAGGAGAAAGCCAGCTTACACTGAGGATTTCTGTATTGGTGGTTTTCTCCCTCCCTGCTACCATCCTTGAAGGGCAGTGTAGGAGCCTTTATGATTTAATGAGATGTAAAAATCCACCCTTCGGGGCTGCCGAATTTCTTGGTGGCCTTGCTGAGAGGCTGGGATTCTACTCCATCCATTTTTGGCCAAATGAAAAGACATCAAAGATTTCCTTCTCTTCCTGGGGATTGCAAAACCCTCCTGTCTCCAGAATGTGTAAACAGATCCATGCTAACTGCAGGGGAAACTCTGACTCTCCTATCCATCTGCCCCTGGGCCTTTGTGCTGCCTGGTGCTGTTGTCTGAGCTTGGCAGGCCAGCTCCGGTCAGGGGATTAAGCGACGGGCTCGGTGGTGCAGCAGCTTATGGAGATTGCCCAAGCCCTAAGCATTTCCTGTTTCAAGAAGGCCCAGTCCTGCCCATGTGCAAGGGGGTGGTGATGTCTCCATCCCCAGCCCAGGGACAAGAGGGAGGGGCCAGGGACTAGAGGGTGGGATCAGGGAGTAGAGGGAGGATGGGGACTAGAGGGGGGTTGCCCGGGTGTGCAAGGGAGCCTGGAAAGCGGCGGAAACCGGCTTCATGCCTCTTACTATATCCTCAGTACTCGGGGTTGCTAATTACAGAAAGCCAATTGTAAAGTCTAAGTTCTTTTCGTAAAATATAGGGGGAGAAAACTCCCTGGGCAAGGCCTCAGAAAACCACACCAGAACTCCACCTTCAGGAGTCACTTCATTTCTCTAGATCTGACTCCTCTTCTGTGCAGTGAAAAGGTTTAAATAGATGAGCTCCTAAAAAATTAGGAGACCAATGAACCTAGTTCAGTCCCGTATGGAATAAAGCGGCTTAATTCTTGGAGTTTCTTAACGTTTGTAGTGCTGCTGTGTTCAGTTTTAGGGGATAGAATTTCTGTTACCTCCTTTGGAAAACTGCCCAGACCAGGAATGCCCAGGCCTTCAGAGCCATATTTTGTGTATCTGTGTTCACAGACACACAGAAACATACATCCACCTTCAGTGTAAAGTTTAACCACACGTAGGATATGTAAGATTCCCACTTTCATGTCCTAAGGTGAAAGAAACCTCTGAAATTATAAGGTAAAGTAATATGAACTATAATATTTTATTGTGTTGGGAACTTTATTTTGTCATATTTTGCAGTTGTAAATTATCAAAATTAAGGCCAGGTGTGGTGGCTCATGCCTGTATTCCCAGCACATTGAGAGGCTGAGGTGGGAGAATCACTTGAGCCCAGGAGTTTGTGAGCAGCCTGGGCAACGTGGCAAAACCCCATCTCCACAAAAAATAGAAAAATTAGCTGGGCAGCTGGTATGCGTCTGTAGTCCCAGCTACTCAGGGAGGCTGAGGTGAGAGAATTGCTTGAGCTGGGGTGGTTCAGGCTGCACTCCAGCCTGGGTGAGAGAGAGAGATTCTTTCTCAAAAAAAAAAAAAAATCATCAAAATTCGCAGGTACAAGGAGTGAGAAGTCAAAAATGAGCATGTATTTGTTGCCATCAAATGACTGCAAGCAAACCACAAAAGAACAAAATCCAGACTGAGAAAAAAATCAAATGAGAATGAGGTTGCGTGAGTTCAGATCCAGCTCTGCCACATGCAAGCTGCTGACCTAAGTCATTTAACCTCTCTATTCTCGTTCTCTAAAATAGGAATAATAACATCACATACCTTCCTGGCTGGTTGCAAGATTAAAGGATTAACAATACATGTAAAGCACTTAGAAGAGTGACTGGCACATAGCATGGGAAAGGCTGCATAAATTCAATGGTGTGTTATCATGAATGCAATATGTGTTTATTGAGCACCTACTTTGCACTTAGAATACAAGGGTCAGCAGAATCTGAGAGAGAGCAACCAAGTGAGAGTGAGAGAGAGAGAGAGAGAGAGAGAGAGACCCAAGCATCAGTTGTCAGAATGTCGTACGTCCTAGTCTGCTATGATCTCTCTGTCCTTTAAGTTGTATTCAATTTTTTAAAAATCATTTTAATGAAGCCTACCCATCCCAAGCACACCATGTAACTCAGGGAGTCTTAATGTCCCAACATGTTCCTGCTTTGTCTTGTCGCCTTTTGTCCTGACCTCCCCTGTCTTTGCTTCTTTGTACCTTGCCTCCTGCACAGGGTCCCCCATCCCACACAGTGGTGCCCTGCATAGGACTTCACCCAAATGCCACCAGAACAAGGCTGTGAGAAGCAGACTTTGGCATTGTGAGCAATTTCTCTCTCTTTGACTCATTCCTCTGCCAAATCAACCCCTTTTCCAGCTTCCTTTCTCTACCCAGGGGAGAAATCATGCCACTTCCTTATAATCCATCCATGGTTGAAAATGGTGATATTTTTCTCCCTACAACAAGAATAATTACAGTGCCAAGCTGAAGAGTAGTCGCTACATCTCCTCCCTTTTTCTATCCATAAAGTTACAAGTTCCTCTTGTCTTCTTTCTTCATCTTAAAAAATATAAACACTAACTTCTTGTCACTGAGCTAAGTTGCAGACACTGAGTTAACTGCTTTACTGAGTTGCCTCATTTAACTTATTTGTAAATTCAACAGACAATTCTTGGGCACTCCCCACATACTAAGTAGTGCTATTCTAAAAACTGGGAATACAATCGTAAGCATGACAAATAAACAAAAGCCTCTGTGGAACATGTATTCTAGTGTGGAGAGACACATATTAAGTAAATATCAAGCCATGATGAGATCCTTAACTAAAAATAAAACAGATTGATGGGATGGAGAGACTGCAGCTACTTTAGAAGAAATTCTCCAGGGGAGGCTTCTCTGAGGAGCAATATGAAAATCTATCTATCAGAAGATGGTGTGGGGAAGGTACATTTCTGGACAAGGGGACACTGTGCGCCCCAAGACAGGAATTTTCTCAGAGTATCTGAGGAACAGAGAGAGGGCAGGCAGACTGGAGCTCAGGAGGAGGGGCCGTAACAAGAAAGAAGTCTAGAAAGGTGAGCCAAGGCCAGAACGCACAAGGCAGAGCTGGTGTTTGTGCTTGCTCTGCCGCTTTATGAAGAACAGATCGTAGGCGAGTCTGAGGGCAACAGGAGGCCAGTTGGGAAGCTGCCACGGTGTCCAGAAGCAAGTGCATGGGGGCGTGGGCACAGCGTGGTAGTGGTGGGGATGGAGAAGTCAACAGATTTTAGTTCTTTAAGTAGTAGCAACAGAACTAGCTGGCAAGTTGAGTAGGGGATGAGTAGGGGAAAGGCAGTAAGGAAGAGAGAGTGACTTCTAGACAGTGGGGAAGACTACAGGAGGAGCACATTTAGGGTGGGGAAGTCAGGACTTTCTGCCGTGGTATTATTGAGATGGTTTTTAGCCCCCAAATAATGTGAATATCAAGTGAGCAGTTGGAGCTCAGAGGCATCAGGGCTGAAGATGTAAATTCGCAAGTCATCAGCACATACAGGTGGGGTTGGATGCGATTCCCACAAAGGAGCAGAGCTGTAGAAGAGAGCAAGAGAAGAGGACTGTACCACAAACTTATCAGGTAGCACTGCTCACATCCCCACTCTACACATGAGGAAAACAAGCTTAGGTGGTTTCAATGACTGGCCCACGGTCTCAGGAAACAGTGGCACTGGGATTGCATCCAGGCAGTCTGACTCTACAAGCTCTATTCCTAATCACTTGGCCATAGTAGGCAGGTCCACACAGCAGTGCTGTTTTGCTTCCTTTATGTGCCACAATTTCTCTGCAGGAAGAAGATGATGATGGTCTGCCTAAGAAAAAGTGGCCAACGGTAGATGCCTCTTATTATGGTGGGAGAGGTGTTGGAGGCATTAAAAGGATGGAGGTAAGAGGACAGCTTAATGTACACTTACCTATGTACCAACTACTCCCATCCAAGTACCAACTGGCATGACCCTACTTAGCCTCTAGAGATCAGGCATGCTGAGGGCGGTATGGCCATAGATGATGCTGACCACTCAATGTCAGAAACCCAAAGCAAATTGCTAAAAACCTGCTTGAGGTCTGGTGGGGATATGGATTTGAAGGCAGAAAGATGGAGAGATGGGAGGGACAGGCTTTTAACTGCACTCCCATGCCTTACCCACCATGAGTCAGAGCAGGTCGCACACTGGCTCAAACCTCCTTGTGGTTTCTTTTCTCACTGGAATAAAATGCAAAGTTCTTACCTGGACCTGCAAGGTCTTTGCATGTGCTGTGCCCGCTGCCTGGACAATCCCTCCCTAAATATCCATCCATGTGGTTCACGCTCTCTGTTCCTTCAGTCCTCCCCTTTTCTCTTTTCCCACAGTTTCCCTCTTCCCTGGCCCTCAAAACCCAAAGGAAACCAGCGTTGGGTAGCACTCACATTGCAAGTCATTCACGTATTTGTCATTCCCATTCTCGAGGGGCAGCATATTTTGTCATTTTGTTTCATTGTATTTTATTTATTTTAGGTTCGTTGGGGAGAAAAGGGCTCCACAGAGGAAGGTGCTAAATTAGAAAAGGCAAAGAATGCAAGAGTCAAGATGCCGGAGCAGGAATATGAATTCCCTGAGCCTCGAAATCTCAACAACAATATGCGTCGGCCTTCTTCCCCCCGGAAGTGGTACTCTCCAATCAAGGTATATCTCTCTCTACTCAAAGATCTATCGTCAGTCCTGATAAAACACTTACATAGTAAAGAATCAAAATCTTTCCACATGATAAAATCCCAACCCCAAATCCAGCTTATCACAGTGGAACAATTATCTAAAATTATGGACTTGAAAATACAAGTAATTACTTTATCGATTTCCACTTAATCTGGGTTGAAAACTAGGCTTTTTAAAAATCACCATGGTGCTCACTTCGGCAACATATATACTAAAATTGAAACAATATAAAGATTAGCATGACCCCTGGGCAAGGATGACATGCAAATTCATGAAGTGTTCCATATTTTTTTAAAAAATTGGGCCAGGCACGGTGGCTCATGCCTGTAATCCCAGCACTTTGGGAGGCTGAGGCAGGTGGATCACGAGGTCAGGCGTTCCAGACCAGCCTGACCAACATGGTGAAACCCGGTCTCTACTAAAAATACAAAAATTAGCCAGGTGTGGTGGCACGCATCTGTAATCCCAGCTATTCAGGAGGCTGAGGCAGGAGAATCACTTGAACCCAGGAGGTGGAGGTTACAGTGAGCTGAGATGACACCACTGCACTCCAGCCTGGGTGATAGACCACAAAGAAAAAAATAATCACCATGGCAAAGTAGTAGAATAAGCATGGACTATGAGTCAAGTAATTTGGGTAGTAACTGCAAAGAGTGACCATAAATTTCCATAGCATCTCATAACTTCATTTAGTAGACAATCTACTATCTAAGAAAAACAGCAGCATTCTCCTTGATGCTAATCTCTACTCCTTTGGCCATAACATAAGCCCATTCCCTTTTATTTGTTCCTCCTGCCAGTGTATCAGGGCTCACCAGCAAATCTCATTGGCCATGGATCTAGGACTCACTCTTCCTGGTTGTGAGCAAATCTTTTTTCTCCACCATCTCTCTTTCCTTCACACCTCCAGAGCTTAAAATCTTCTTTGGTTTATTGGGAAGTGTAAGCCATAGGAGGCAGTTAATGCTTCCTAAAGGCCTCTTTTTTGTTTGTTTGTTTTTTGAGACAGGTTCTCACTCTGTCACCCAGGCTGGAAGGGGGTGTTGTGATCTCTGCTCACTGCAGCCTCGACCTCCCAGGCTCAAGTCATCCTCCTGGCCTCAGCCCCCCAAGTAGCTAGGACTACAGGCATGCACCACCACACCCAGCTTATTTTTGGGTTTTTTTGTTTTTTTGAGAGACAGGGTTTCGTCATGTTGCTCAGGCTTGTCTTACACTCCTGAGCTAAAGCAATCTATCTACCTCGGCCTCCCAAAGTGCTAGGATTACAGGCCTGAGCCACTGTGCCTAGCATGAAGGCCTCTTTTCTATTCTTCTTGGTGCAAATGGTTTTGAATTGACGTGATTCAGTTAACATCTTCACTCTTTAGCCTTGCCCGTAAATATCTGCATTATGCCACTTGTCAGAGAGCACTGGAAAATTACAGCTGAAAAGACTCTAGACATAATCTGTCCCCACTCTCTGATCTCCTACTGAGATAGGCAAAGTCCTTGTCCTGCTGAGGTCTGGAACCCAAGGCCCCCAACTTAGGGCTACAGACTCCAGTTTCATGCTGCAAGCAAAACTGAGCCAATTCTAAGGCCTCAAGTGAAAGACTCAATAGAGCCAGCTCCCATCACCATCCAAACACACACACACACACACACACACACACACACACACACGCAGCCTTACCCATCTTCAATGGCAACAAAGATTATTTTCATCATTTACTGAGTTAATTTGCTAATTTTGGAGCAGCCCTTCTCCTCCAAAATCGAAAGAAGTAGCATTTCAGGCAGTGTAGCGAAACGTTACTGGTTTCCTCAGCTGAGCTAGCTCAGGCTCACCTGAATTGCCACGCATTTCTATTTTGGTTTGCCGTGTTCAAAGCAGTGAGATTCTTTTTTTAGGATAAGCCTGCCCCCTGGGGTAATGGCCTGAACTCAGGAAAGATGTGGGCAAACTGCAGCTCGCTTGACTAACAGCTGTTTGCTTCTAATTATTTTCTAATGAAGAACATGCAGTGGCGTGCATGCGTGTGCAGACAGGAAGGAGCCAAGTGGATTCTCAGCCATGAAGAAGAAAGGGGATTTTCTGTTATGCCGTTCTCAGGAATCTGTACCTTGTGACTACACCACATCTTTAGTTACAGCCAGGTTTTTGTTTCTGTAATCTTGGACATTGAGAGAACATTAATTCTGTTTGAACACTCTCTATTAAGGGGTGGTTTGGGACTGAATTTGATGAGATAAATAACTACATGGGCTAATACATTCAGCACTCCCAACACCCACTTGGAAATAGCATCAATTCAGTGACTATTTGTTGTGCGGCTACTGTGTGCCAGGCACTGTAGGATGTTGAATATACAGAGGATTTCAAACCTGGGTGAGTGTCAGAACCACCTGGGAGTTCTTTAAAAAATACAGATTCCCAGGTCAACTCAGAATCTCACAAAAGGTTCCAAAAGCACACTGGCCCTCACCACTCGCCCACTTTTTCCCATCAGGTGAAACTCCTTTTGTTCACATTGCCTCCCTTTTCTAATTTCACTTCCAGACTCCCTGAGCAATATGCCTCTATTGCTCCAATTATCACTTTATCTGCAGTCCTGGCTCTTGAGCTTCCTCTTAGTCTCTGTATTAAAGCACTGGCTCTCAAAGGTGGTCCCTGGACCAGCAGCATCAGCATCACCCAAGAACTTGTTAGAAATGTGCATTCTTGGGCCCTATCCAAGATCTACTAATCAAAAACTCTGGAAGTGGGGCCTAGCCATCTGGGTATTAACAAGCTCAGTTAAGAAGTTGTCACCTGCCAGGCACGGTGGCTTATGACCGTAATCCCAGCACTTCGGGAGTCAGAGGCAGGCAGATCATGAAGTAAGGAGTTCGAGATCAGCCTGGTCAACATGGTGAAACACTGTCTCTACTAAAAATACAAAAATTAGCTGGGCGTGGTGGCAGGTGCCTGTAATCTCAGCTGCATGGGAGGCCGAGGCAGGAGAATCGTTTGAACCCAGGAGGCTGAGGTTACAATGAGCCAAGATCACGCCATTACCTGAGTGACAGGGCAAGACTCTGTCACAAAAAAAAAAAAAGTTGTCACCAAAGGTTCCAGCCAGCACTCCATAGGAAGTTCTTGGAGGGCAGGAACTGTGGTGCCTGGGTTGTTAAAATAGGCAAAGAGAGCATGATTGCACTGCAGTGATTTTTCATGCATCTCAGCAAGGAGAGCCACATTAAAGTTCACACTGGGTCCATTTTTACCACAAGCACAACTGCTGGATTAATGTTAAGTGGTTGGGGATCTGAGTGTCTTGGAGTCAGCTAAAAGGCCAGATGGAAATGAACTAGGATGCTGGTAGACTCGCAGAGCTCCTCAACAGGACTCCCTCGTTGGGACACGCAGAGCATGACTCCTCCCTTTGCCTGGTGGAACAGCTAATGCTAATGCTTACTCAGCTCCTTCTACTGTAGAGGAAATGCACACATAGCCGTTGGTGTGATTACTCATGTTTATGAGCCTTCTCTCCACCAGATTTGAACCCCTGCAGGCACCAGGTACGCTTTGAATCCCCAGTAAACAGTGCTGTACCTGGCTGATCTCTTATTAAAGAGCTGAGGCATGAGCCGTAATTATGCAACCACTCCCCAGAGCATCCAGGCAGTCAAAACACACAGACCATTTTGGTATACTCTGTCCAGGAACATGACATTCTTCATGCCATCTCTCTGAGGAGAGAAGAGAAAAAGAGGTTGTTTTAGGTGCAACAAGGAGGCTGGAAGCATAGAAAGAAATTCAAAAGTAATCGTGTGTGCTCTTTGTCCAGAAATAAGGCAGGCTTGCTTCTGGAATCTCAGGTTTCATACTATTTTACAAGATGTATAATCCACAATGAGTCCCGTGCTAACCAGAATGCCTAAGGACATTTGCTCAGCCTTGGACAAAATATTTAGCCTTATGTGGTACCATAAACTGTGCTTCCCTTTCCTCAACTCTCTCCCTGAACTCACCATGGTCCTGATAGGAGGCAGAAAGCACACTGAAAAGAACTGAACTAACAGGTGTAGGCAGAGCTAAGGGAACCCACACGGATGGTGAGGCACCAGGAGCTGGCAACAGCAAGAGCTGTTATACCTAAAGAGCACGTGGGGAAATGGTGTTACTGGGTTCTGGGAACAGCCGTACCCTGCAAAGAGACTACTCAACAGGAACTGTTTCTTTAGTTGACAATCTAAATCCACCCCACCATCTGTTTTTATATGACCTGCAAACAAAGAATGGTTTTTACACTTTTTAATGGTTATGTAAGTATCTATATAATGTTGCCCCTTGGCCTCAAAATCCAAAAATCTTGACCCTCTGACTCTTTACAGACCAAGACCAAAGGGCAGCTAGGTGATACAGAGGCAGGCTTCCAAGGCGTGGAGAAGGCAGGCAAAGAATGAATGGGGGCAGGTAGAGAATGAATGGGGGCTTGCAGATCAGGGAGAGTGACCCATCCACTCACTGCCTGCCTTCTATCTCCACTATAAGCAAGGAGAACAGCTCCACCTCACACCACCTCTCAGCAGGTATTGGAAAGACTCCTGGCTCCCCGGTGAAAGGAGCCAGAATCATATACTTATTGAATTGCATTGCATTAGACTCATTGGTTCCCATGAAATGGAGTTTTTGAGAAGCAGGTGAACACATCTGCCAAGCAAACCCAGAGAGAACACATGGAGAGAGGAAGTCCACAGTGGGCTTTTCTCCACCCACCATCTCCCCATCTAATTTAAGGCACTGACCACACCGACCACACCTCCCCCCTTCCTCATTCCAGACTCATGATCAGCAAATTTTCCCTGATATTTAGCCTGCATTTTCCTTTGCTTGGTTTTCACCCCTGGATTTACAATACCCCGTGCTTCTCATTAAATTCGGGCTGACCATTTCAGACAAATGAAGTCATGCCCAGCTATATGGGCAAAATTTTCTTAAAAAC